TTCTCTCCCGTATGGTGTCTGGTGTAATCCCGCCTCCATCAAGGCAAGTTGAAGACGGAACCGTGGGTCTTTCATGATATCGTCCACCGTGTACCCGTGCACATTGAACTGCGAAGCTTCCGAGAATGAAACAAAGGGCACACTCTGTTGACTAGAGGTGGTAGGCTGCAGAACTCTTTCGGCATCATACGTCACCCCCAGACGCCTCTCAATGCCTTTAAAAAACGTCTCCAATGTTCGTTGGTGCGCCTTGCGTAATTCTTCCATTTCTTCTTGATGCTTCTTGCGTAAGCGACACTTTTCTTCGTATTCCTTCTTTCTTTCCTCCACGCGTTTTGCGTTGTGATCCTTTTGAATGGCCTTCTTCAGTGCATTCTCCTCCGCCAGCGCCTGCTGGACAACACGCTCCTTCTCTTGGAGCTCGCGCTGCTCTTCCTGGTACTCCCTCAATCGCCGTAGACGCTCCTGAAACTCCGCCTCGCGAATGCAAAGTAGCTTCTGATGCTTTTCATCCTCCTCCATTTTTTTAGCCTCTTCCTCGGCACGGCGTGATGCGTCCTTCGCCTCACGGGCTATACGGAGCCTCTCCAGCTCTTCTTGAGTCTTCTGTTGACGTTCCTCACGCATCCTCGCCTCTTCACTTATGGCGTTCCGCATCTTCATGATCTCCTCTTCCGCCATCACAGCCTTCTTAAACGACTCCAGAAGTTCCGTAGTCCGTTTCTTGTACTGAAGTGTGACTGAGCGCATGTACACTCGTCCTCGTTTCTGCCGAAGTGCCTCATCTACGACGCGTCTCGCCGACATCTTCGAGAGGTGCGGAAGAGCCCGCTGTACGCGGTCGTATAACTCCTCCGAGATTGCAGCGGCGGTAGTGCCGGACTCCACTTCGCTGTCGTACGTTTTTAATATCAATGACACAGTGCGCAAATCATTTTGGGACTGCAATACCGTCCCGACCCTCCTGTCGGTGCATGCCGCCGCTTGAGACGTGGTGTTTTCCCCTTCTGTTTGCAGGGCATTCCGGTACGTCTCCACCAGAGCAGCATTTATCTTGCCATCGATGGACTCGCAAATCCCGTCAAATGTCTTCATCGTTGACTGGATCAACCTCTGAAGTGTCTCCATTGGGCTCTGCTGGTCCGTCTCCCCGTTCGCCTCCCCGCATATCATCTTTTCCGCCTCTACGTCTGTCACCTTCTTCTCCAGAAGCTCCTTCCGCAACGCTGAGATGCTTTCTGAGAGTGTCCGCAGCGCTTCTTGAGACGGCTGGTTTTTCTGCTTGTGCAGTTGCTCAAGTTCCTTCCGTATACGCGTGACACGTTCACTCAGATAGCCTAAGAGTTCATTTTTTTGCTCCTCCTGCTCCGCCAGCTTGTTTCTGAGTGACTGCGGCAACAAGTGCGCACATGAGGCGTAAGCCTTACTCAGCTCCAGGTCGCGCGATACGGCCTCCCGCTGGAGAGAAGTCCACTCCGCCAACCATCGTCCTCCACGTTTTGTCGTTTCCGCTGATTTTTTATGGGCGTCCATTTTGGAGCGAATGCGCTGCAGCGTCTCTTTGCCCTGCTGTGCCCTTGCCCGCCATTCCATGAGCGCCGCCTCCTGGTCTTCGACAGAGGAGGCAATCATGTGCGCTCGGTGACGCAACGCCACCGATTTCTTCGGCGGCGGCATCCGGCCGCACTGTTGGATGGAGAAAGCAAACAAAAAAAAAAAAGAATAAAATGCATGGAGCAGGAGTATACAACTACAGCCACACGGGCAATAAGCCAACACCCATTTCCGCCCTCCACACACACACACACATGAAGAGGGACAGAAGAATTCAAGTAAGAAGAAGAAGAAGGAGAAGAAAGATTATAGGAAGAAAGGAGAGAAAGAGAACCCATACACACACAAACCCTCACGGCATAAAACACATGCCACTTGTACAGGGAGACCTCCTAATAAAAGCCCGTAATATATATATATATTTATATTTATGTATTGAACAGTAAAGGAGAACAGCATTGGAAAAAAAAAAAAAAAAAGAAGGAATAATAATAATAATAATAATAATAATATATTTAAAAAAAAAAAAAACAACAACAACAGAATGAGGGTCCAACAAAAATTATAACTCCCTCCCCCCCCCCCTCCCCCGGAGAATTGGTATGGAGTCAGAGAGGTCAACACCACTCATGCTCGCTCGCTCACCACCCCACCCTTCTCCTTCTCCACAAAAAGGCGAAAAAGAAGAAAAAAAAAAAAAAAAAAAGAAGAAGCAGACACAAATATGGGACGCAACTATTCCGTTGTTGTGCATGGATTACTGAGAACGAGTTTTCCTTCAGAATTTAAATGGCAGTCCACCCTGCCCGAAGACAGTAGCTCCTTGCTTTCGTCCGATATACCTACAGGCATTAGTCGACGTATCTTTTCATGTGCCTCTTTTGTGCAGCAGCAGAGATTACGGATGCAGAACTCAGCCCATTCCACCATGCCAGGGTTTTCCTCATCAAACCGCGTACTCGTGAGAACTGCTGCGAGAAGTGCCGAATTGCTTACAATGAACGAACAGGCTTCAACATTGTCAAGGGTAAGATTCGCCATCAGACGCATATGTTCTGTTCTGTATCCTTCTTGAAAAAATGCAATTTCGTGTTCACGTGGAATGCTCAGGGCGTCCTCAATGTAACTCAATACATCACGTTCCATCAAATACATTTGAAGGGCTTTTACCAACCGGGGGTGACTCACCAAAATAAGACAGAGCAACTCCACGGCAACATGGGACAAGTGCGCCCCCGTTTCCAGCCACGCCTCAGACCCATCACGAAACTCCTCTACACTGCTGTTTCGTGGAATACTATCCGTATCCATAAACTCCGCACAAGTGCTAGATGCTTCACTACAAGTCTTATCATTCCCAGAGGCGTACTTAGCCTTCAGATGTTTCCCTGTACGGCGTACTATATGGGGTGCAATGCTTAGTGCGAGGTCAGCCATTCTTTGCAGGACCCGCTGAAAATGAAGCATCTCCTCACCCTCCTCACGCTTGGCTTGAAACGCAGTTTTATCAACCGCTTGCTCCAATTTAAACTTCAAAGCGTAATTCCGCAATTCGCTATCCGTTTCACATAAAATCAGCAATGAGTCCACCTTTGCGCTTATAAGCCGGAGTACCTCAGCGTCAGCATCCTTAATGGAGACATCGCAGCCAGACATTTTCTTTTCTCCCTATTGCCCCTATAAAAGTGAAAAGAAGACATGAATATGCATAGAGAGAAAAGAAATAAAAAAAAAAAACAACAGTTTACCGAAGTCATGACACACACGGTTGTAATGACATGTTCCTCCTTCAGACAGGGCTCAAATTAATCACCCGATTTCTCCATCTCTCTCTCTCTCTCTCTCTCTCTCTCCCTTTTAAGAGATGCGCTTTCATGTGAACCAACAAACCCCTCCTTTTTTTTTTTTTTTTTTTTGTGAGGGCCACTGGCGCTCTGGCACGCCCCACTACCGCATCCAACGCAGCATTCACAGCAACAGTACCGGGACTCCACACAAAAATGCTTTGGGTATTGCAATCACATCTTTTGGACGCCAAATAACAAGGAAACAAAAAAGAAAAACAAAAAAAAAAAACGCAAACTCACGACAAACTCCCATGCATTCACAAGCAAGACGGTCCAAAAAGTTTTCCTGCAAAGCACCAGAGAGGTGCAATTCAAATATAGCCGCATTGGACACGACAGGCGTATCGTAACTTGAGACTACTGTGAAGAAACTCGTTTTATCCGTGTCGGTGGCGCTAAGAAAAGCGCATTTCCAACTAGAAGTGAGGGCCACACAATTTTTTCCGGAAGCCGAGCAGCGCACCGCCACCCTTCGATTTTACTCGCCATTCAAAAAATTTCGTTGACACACCCGACCTTTAAAGTAGAGGCACCTTCAGAGAGAGAGAGGGAGAGAGAGGGAGAGAGAGAAAATAGGGCGGGGAAGAGGAATAAGAGGACAGGCCGCATGCATGCATGAGCCTCAAACATCGGCCGATACAAAACAAAACAAAAAGGACACAAAGACAAAAATAAATTGGCGGAAGACGGCTCCAACGCAATGTCAGCTATTTTTTTTTTTTTCTCCTTCTCTCTCTCTCAGCTTCTCCTTCACAGAATGCATCCGATAACGGCAGGGGGCGACTTGACTGTGGCCGAGGGAAAAATGAATAAATCGAAGGATTTTGTTCAGGCAGTCCCCTTCAGGAGCGGGTTCGCTCCTCCTGCACATGTCCCCCCATGTTGCAGTAAACCCGCCAAACATCACCGGCAATGGAAGAACATGTCATTCATGCCGTCCCCCCCCCCCTTCCCAACTTCCCCGCCATGAATGAGAATTCAAAGAGAAGACAAAATAACAACAACAAGAAGAAAAAATAAAAACTTTTATTTCTTTTTTTCTGGTAGAAAAAAATTGATTCTCTCCGAATTATATAACTTTTTCTTTATTATTATTATTTTTTTTTTTAAATAAATTTCTTCCCTTCTTTCAGAGCTGCGGGCCGAAAACCCGTTTTTCATCCTGCGGCCCCCCTTCTGTACACGATGCCCACAATCTCCTCGGCTCCACCCCCTCTCGAGCATACGTCATGAAAAGACCGGGTATCCACACAAACCGTAGGACAAGAAAACCGCAATGGTGGAGCAAACACGGTGGATGTGCACAATGACAATAAATACCAGTCCTAATAAGACCACCCAACAATCAACCGACCCACACACACATACATTACACGACACAATCAAAATCCACACAACGTCAAACAAACTAGCAAAAAAAAAACGGAAGGAATAAAAAACTAACACCGTATCCTCCTGCGGTGCGTCCTCCTTGTGGAAGGAATACCACTCCTCGCCTCTGGAAAGCCGCTAAAGGGGCCTACTTACTTCGGTCGGTTGTGGAAACGTGCTCCAACGCCTCGAGATGACGACGAGGCGGGTAAAGAAGGAGCATCTTTTACTTCCTGCAGTTTCACTCCGGATGGGTTCGCCTCTAGGAGAGCCCGGCCTGGTCCATCTACGTAATACTTCGGGTTCGGGCACGACGGGACCTCGCAGTAGATGGGAAGCGTCGCCACCCACTCACCCGAGGCGCGAAATTTATGTCCACAGGGGCACTGCCACTCCCGCTCCTCGAATAAGGTGTTTGTCATCTGCATTGCCCGATCAAAGGCCTCTTTTAAGGAAGGCGGGGCACCGGACGAACTGACGAGGACATTCCTTGCCTTTTGCCCCGCCTGACGAGAGACGAATGTCTTAATTTTGTCAAGCATCCTCTTCAGCTGGTGAGGCACACAGACAAGAGAAGGAGACAGAAATGAAAAAACACACTCACAAAAAAGAAATTTGCAGGGAGCAGCAGCAGCAGCAGCGACGGCGGCAGGACATGAAAAAAACCCCAAGAGAACATCTGGCCCTCTTACACACAGCGAGCCTCATCCTCGGCAGAAAAGGGCAAAAAAAAAAAACACAAACAAACAAACAAAAACTGGAAATAAAAGGCGCCATTTCACCGCGAAGGCCCACCCTTTCCAGCCGACGGAAAAAAAAAGTCATAACTCCACTTGGCCCTCATCCACGCACGCCTCGCGCTCATGACAAGAACGTATCTGAAGTTCACTTGTGTCCGTTTCGCCTCCGAATGCTTGGCCGCCTCCAGATCCTTCACATCAATTGCATAGGGATGGCGATGACATCGACAACACCGCCGGAACATCAGAAATAAAAAAAACAACACAACTCTCCACTTCCCAAACACCCTGTGCTTTGGCCTATTGAATGAAACTCCCTTCCACCACCACCACCACCAATACCGGCAGCAACAGACTGTCAAGAGAAACAACAAGAGAAAGAAAGCAACGACAATCATGTAGCACATACGAAGGAGGATAAATAAAAGTGACAATGCGAGTTCATACCCACCACAAAAGATGTTTCATCTTATTAACGAATAAACCCATCATTTCAATCAACGGAAGGAAGTAAAGAATGAAAAAAAGCTCCACACAGCAGAAAAGGGAGGGAGAAAGGAATAGAGAAAGATAGAAATAGATAGATAGATGTATAAATTTACTAAATACCCAAGAAGGTTAGCATCGATACACATTAAATGCATAATGCAACAGCCAGGCTCAAACAAACAAACAAAAGGAATATTTATTCGCTGCACCCCCTCCCTCCCTCCCCTCCCCTCCCTTCTCTCATTATTGTCCAGAAAAGACAAAACAGAGAGTCCCACAAACTGCACACAATTCAGAACACATGGCGGGGTGTGGGGGGTGCTGCCACCACTCACTCCTTCAAACATACATACCCATCCAATGAGTTCATATACACCAACAATTCCCGGCTGTGTGCTAAAAGAACCACGACTCCGTTCATTGTGGGGGATTCTCTGGCGGTTGTGGTGGCAGGGGGTTGGGGGGGATGTCATTACGAAAATCTTCGGTCCCGCAGTGGCCGACGACAACAGCAACAAAAAGACCATGCCGGAATACACAACGGCTGCCCATTCACAAGGCTCTCCACAGTGATCCAGGAAGAGAAGTAAAAAACAAAACAAAACAAAACAAAACAAAAAAACAAAAACAAAAACAAAAATAATATCTCTTGTTGTTTTCATTGTTATATTTATTTTCTCCACACCTCATTTCATTTTATTTCCCTTTTTTCTCTTCTTAAATTGTATCTCTTGTTATTTCCATTTATGCGCCCCGCTGGGCACATTCCAGCAGGGGCGTATGTGGGGAGGTGACGGCGGGAGGTCATAGGCGGTTTCACGTGCGCCAACTCAAAGAAACAAACAAAAATGAACCCCCTTCCACTCCGTCTCCTCCTCAGCGCACGCAGCACTAAAAAAAAACAAAACCCCCTCAAAACAAAAACAACAACAACAAAAACATTAGCCATCGAACATCACCCACACGCGCTCACATATAAAAACAAACAAAACAAAACAAAACAAAAACAAAAAAACAAAAAAACAAAAAAAAAAAAAAAAAAGAAGGACATCAGCAATATGAAATCACATACAAAGCAAATAAAAAAAAACAAAATAAATATACATCCATACATAAACCGTTCATAAAAACCACTAAAAAAAGTGTAAAGCCTCTTCATAAAGGAAATACTCATATACTCAGCAGCTCACACACACAAAAAAAACCCCAACAAAACCCCCCCTTAACACATCCACACACACACACACGAAGAAAAAAAAAATATTAATTAACATTTTTGTCCCTTGAACCTAAAAAATATAAATAAACACTACGATTCCTTAGTCATTCTCCACAAAACAGGTGTCAACTCATTACCGAACCACACCATACAGGCTGGCCCCTGTGCCAAAGACAACCGCAACCACACCAGCCATGAGGAGAAGGTACGTGCAAACATAATTCACGATTCCCACGGTGCCCAGACTCCAGTTCCCACAATACATACGGTATAGCGCCGGCAGGCAGAAGCCGAGAGTGCCGCCACAGAAACTGCCCAGCAGCCCAAAGACGGTGTTCAGCACGGGAATAAAGAGCCCGAGCAGCAGTGCGCAGAGAGCCATAACTCCACAGAAAAGGCAATTTCTCCATGCAGGGATCGTGGCCACATCCCATCCAATGATGTAATAGCAGCAATCGCGAGCGGGCTGCATGCACAGCGCAAAACCAACGCAAAGCTTCAATACAATTCCTGCGTATGCAATGGCCATCAACACATCACGTCGGACATCATAAAACACGAGAACAGTGTCCGTCACCTCGTCCCCAAAGTCGGCGTAACCAAAAAAGCCGGCAACAATGTACGCAATGCAACACAAAGACATGCTGCAGGCTGTGTGGAGCGTCATGCGCCTCGCGCTCGGCTTGCGCATTTCTCCAAAGATGGAGAAGCAATTCATGTGGCACAGGTACGAGAACATGAAGATGGAAAGGCCTTCGATTGCCCCGTTGCCCGACTTGAACATGGCGACATCATCACGAAGTTTTCCGCCTCTAAATCCATGCTGAACAGAGTGCACAACGATGCAGGCAATAAAATAGTAGATGCAAATTACCCCGACAGCAGAGGCGTAGCGCAGGGAGTTAATCTCCTTCGGCAGTGACAACGAGAACATGCCCACAAACCAGATTGCACTTGTCACCGCGCGATTGCCAGCCTCGGAGCGCCAAAACTCCGGCAGGGACGGATCGGACAGCACGGGCTCAAGGAGACGGCCAATGGCTATGACATATCCCACACAGGTGCCAAAGGTGAACAACCACGTGAGAACCACCGTGAAGTGGTCCCACCCCCGGCCAAACAGTTTCTTTGAGAGCTCCGCGTATGAATTATAGCCGGTCATCTCCACAGCCTGCATCATCAGGCCGACCGAATAGACAGTGCACACCGTCACCAGGACAAGAAGGATGATGGAGAAGGCGACACCACTCATCTGAAAGCCCGCGGCCAGGCTGATCACCCCGCCACCAAGCGTGGCGCTCGCAAGGTTAAACGTCGTCGACAAGAGACCGCCATAGGGAATTATGTTTGTGAAACAACGCAGGGCACCCATTCCGGAGCTCGTGCGCCTCCACTTCACCCCGCTGCCATTTTCACTCCCCAGTTGGGGCACCACGACGGGATCGTTTCCGGGAGCAATATTGCCACTCCCGGTGCCCATCTCGTTTGCCAAGAAATCTTCTGAAAACCCTTGCTGAACAATTTGGAGTCTTCTGAGTCACTCTCTAATCACTCTTCTTTCAGAGAAGCAGGGAGCAGAGCAGGCGGGCACACATACACACAACACAACCAATAAAGACAACGAGGAACCCGGCTGGTCAGATGCGACCCTCTCAGTCTCTCTCCGGCGTGCATACACCCCAAACACTCTCAGTCAGCACTTAATTAGTTGCCTTTCCCTGCTACACTCGGCACTTGCGCCGAACAACACTCAATAATTAAAAACAAAAACACTTTGGTGGCGGTTTCCTTGTGCACCAAACAAATATTCAGCTCTGCGGCAATTTTTCTGTCCTTGACGAGCGAGAAAGAGCCTCGCCA